GGGGGGGGGGAAACTTACCCAAGCATAGTATATCCAGTTTTCCAGAAGGCGACAGCTTCGTCGTCTGTTGGGGGAGTTTTACCGTTTTTGACAGCGTAAATGATAGTGTATTCCTCTTTAACCTACTCATATATTTCACCGCCACGCATCCGCCACTCGCCCCTGATTACGTAGTGCAGCTTGAGGAGAAACACGCCTGACTTTGATTTAAATTACCATGCATTCCTGTTCTGTTTGCGGTGTGTGCCTGTCTATTTTTTGTATAAGTGTCAAACCGGCTTGGATAAGGTGTTAGCATTGCAGTAGGAGCAGTTCCAATTCTAATGAAAACCCACTATTGGGTTTATTGATGAAGCATCAATCTCAGCGCATGTCAGATTATACAACACATCCTCATACGCGGTGGAAGAAGGGGTTGATTCTGTCAGCCGCATGCTCTTGTTCCCCAATGCAGCAGTGAATTTCGGAAGGTTTAGTCCGTCGGCCTCACGTACGTCATTGACCTCATCCAAGTATTCTTGTAGTTCAGCATCTGCAGAAGAGTCAGCATTAAACATCTTATTGATCACTTTGAACCGATACTCTGTTTCGTTCTGGGTGCGTTTTATGGTCTACAGACGAGGCATCAACAATGGAATCCTGCCCCACCGAGAACCGCAATCGTGGGCTTCAGCTTAAAGTTTTCCTCAACTTTGTGCCACATCTCGGCACTGCGACAATTTAACAGACACGACTCATGCGGTCCAAGTACTCTACTCTTGAGCCGTTGACGTCCTCTCGGGACTTTAAAATCAAGAAGCATGGCACGTTTCGTTGTTTCAGCGCAGGCACTAGGATTATCTGTCGTAGTGTATGTTTGCTTTGTGGTTCGGCATACACACATCGAAATTGGCTGTCTGACTACTAGACGCTGTAGCCACAGGGTTCTTTTCTGAAAGTGTATACTCACCTCACAGGATAGTGCCCTGCTTCAAGGGGAGCTGGCTTGATATAGCAAATGAGGGTCCCCGCCGGACAATCTTTTGGGTGACCACAGTAAATTTTCTGCGGTTCGTCCTTCAACAAGGCGACAAGGCCTATAGGGTTTGGTTTATCATATGCTCCCGTGGCTTGTTGAAACTTGTCTGGGTATTTGCCCCTAAAATGACACACAGAGGGCCTAGATTGGCTTGGGATGCTGTGATATAGCCATCACTATTCGGATGCCCAGAAAGGGTAGGAGGCGGGTGCTGTTACGTTGTACCCACCCAAAAACGTCAAAACCTTTTTTCCATTGCTCAAGGGCTTCCGAGCACGTCATTTCGTCACGCTGGACACCTGGCCGTGTTGCGGAAAAGACAAACGTTTTGCCAGCGTCAACCTCCTGCGAAAATCCAACGCAGCCCTCCTGTTTTCTCTTACTTTTTTATGGTATCCGAGTGCTATTCATATTCAATGTGTAGGATACATCCGTCTCGTGCAGGCCTTTGCGACCACTAAATATGCAGCTGGACCTACAAGTATGTGTGTGAATGTCCCGGCCTTGAGAGCATCGCACTCATTATTGGTGAGAAAGTCTTTAAGATCTTCCGTTGGTTTTCCACTGGCATTTGGTTGGTACTCTGTTGCACTTGGATCCACTTGCCTCCTCCACTCATTTATTTCTTGGGTGCAGTGTTGGTTGCCAGCTGCAGGACGTAGCCGCAGTATTTGCAACCCTGGTTTGTGCCATGATTTGTCATTATAGCGTTTGACCCTTTCGTAATATGCTGTGAAGATAGTGCTTTTGAAAGGGGGTTTGCAGTATTTGCGAAATGTCGTGTCCCTGGAAAGTGTCGGCGGTTGTGTCGGACGAACAACAACAACGACAGCTTTTCATACTTTTCTGGAACCTACTTATCGGCGTCAGTTCAGATGCGTTTTCGCGAAAAGTTCGGAATATGCTTTTGCCCTTAGCGATGGCTTCCGCAAAGCTCCCTTGAGCAATAGCGGATGCGCTCGCAAGTGCGGCACAAACCCAGAGATATTTCATCCCTGGAATGAAGAAAACTACATGTGATATTTAAATATACCGGCGGGTATTGTAGTTTTTAAGAATATCTGAAAGGTTTCACTCCTAAGCGAACCGGAAGCCGACGCACTCTCCTTGCGCCGACTCGGGGCCCGCACGGCCGATTCCTGCGCCAGAAAACAGGCGCACCGGCACAGTGTAGATATTCTAAATTCCATAATATTCAGGACTCCAGTCACATTAGGGCTATTTAGTCCGAAGGTTTCTCCTCTAATTCTTGCTTCCCTCAGTAGCTTAAAACCTATTCCGTGTTCGCTGCATTGGACCAGGCCACCCCATGCGCCAAGGATGGTAACAATAATCAAGGTAGTGGGGCTATTGCTTCATATGCAACAACCTACCAGTACATCTATAAGGGCATATTTTTGAAAATATGAAGAATTAAGTATTATTCCAAAGGAATGAGGGAGAAGAAGAGGACAAGAGAGCATCTGCTGCTGTGTGTGACAGGCCTGGTTAACCACTCAGATCCCGATCCGCTGCTGCTGCAGCTGCTAGTGGTTTGTCGGCTCAGCTGCTGCTGCTGCTAGTGGTTTGTCGGCTCAGCAAACTGGCGAGTTCTGCCGCAGCAAGTGTTTTCCTGTTTGTTTTTATTATTGACTTTTAATTACTGTAATAAAGTAGAATAATAAAATTCGTGTCAATGCCTCGAATGAATGCTCCCAGCCTAGCTTATCCTATGCAGCTGCCACAAGCAGAATGTGGGGACGTGACTGGTCCCTCCGTGTATGTTTGTCTTTGTTGACTATCATATTTCCTTCCAACGTATGGTTTATTTAAGTGCATAATAAGGGAAATTAGTGATCATTGAGCATCTGAAAGCACCTGCTGTTGCCGTTGCTGCAGCAGGTGTCGGGATGTCTCGACTGATCTCTGAGGTTTAGGGTGCCCGCACACCCTGTTGTTTGTGTTGAATTGATATTTACTGCAACAACAACAAAATAGTGCTCTTGGCCCATTAACTTCTTTTCCTATTCTTATTGGGGTCTTTGTGCCAACTGTAGTGCCTAAGATATGTTGATTTAGCGGGGAGGAAGACGAGCGTTTTCCAAAGGTCCTTAATCTTAAGGCAGTGTCGTCATAAACAAGATATGTAAACAGTCAAATTAAAGTTGGATGTATGCTTTGGGAGGGAGAAGGAGGAGCATTTTACAGGGGTCCCTAAAGTTGAGACGGGATCGTCACAAGCAAAAAAAAATATCTAAACAATCAAAAAAAGTTTCCAGACGAAGACCGATCTTCCCCCTCAACTATTACACATGCTTAGCAGATTGGCTGCAGCGAAGGAGTGAAGGATGCATATCGAATTTCCTGCTGCAAGCCAGCCCCACAAGCTCTCGTTGGGGGTACATACATCATAGTTTTGAATTGCTAGAGGGTATTTAAGTAGAAATGATAGTACGATTTTAGCGTTTATCATTCGCAAATGCAGCCTTCATTTTTAAGAGCAAAGGAGGTAATGCAGCAGGTGCAGAAGGAAGTGCAGAAGCAGAGTTCTAGCATAGAATCTGCAGCTACGGCTACAATGAAGTATTGTGGCAAACACTGTTTTGTATTGCCTGTTATTAGCATATACGTGATATACATTAGGTAATACCAGCTAGGAGATGCGAATGTTTGGCAAAGTACTGCATCCATTTCCACTCCGTCACTTTCTCACACTCTTTTCGCCCAGCTGGAGTTGGATCCTTGCAGGGCTACACAATTGAGGAGAGAGCGACTAAGTTTCATTTATACGTTTTCTCGTTTTGCACTTTGTGCACCACCGTCACGGGCCCCCGCTTAGGGAGGCAAGGATTGTGGCGTATGCAGAAGCAGCAGAAGCAACAACAGGAAGCTGCTGCAGTTTCGGGTGGTGGCACGTTTGCTGTTTCTGCGGTTGCTCCGCATACTTCGTCGATGCCTAGAAATTCACTTGAACTGCCGATTTGCATGTCACTAAGCTTAACATGTTTCTGCATCTCCCTAGATGTTTGCAGATCTTATACGTTCGACAAATGTACACAGCTGATATCTACAGTTTTTAACCCGTCTTACGTTCTTCAAGTCATTGGCATGCACACCAATAGTTTTCAGCTGCAGGACGGTGCACGTTGCTTTCAACGGGGATGGCTGTTAGGCATGTACATTAGCAACGGATGCTGCAAACGTCTTGTATGAGTGTTAGACATTAGGGTTGCCTGCCTACGCGGAAGCATTGAAGAGCCTTTGACCTGAAACATCACAATACTAGACAGGATGTCTGCTGATGTCATACTTCAGCAGCTGGTATCAGTCAAACAGAAAGACACCTTACGGGTAATTATGTAGTATTCCCGTACAGCTGCAACAGACTCCTGCTAAAGCCACACCGTTCCAATATGCTGCATGAAGTCATGTAGGTGATATAGTAAGACTGGTCTAGATTGGAGAGACAGTGTTTCGAGCACCATGAAAACCATATCCATTTGAAAGTTTTCCCAAGTTTAAAACTATTCATTGGAATGAATGGGCTGGAACACAAGTCCCACATGCCACAAAAAGCGTCCCAGAGCTCAAATGGTTTGGGCTTGTTGCTGGTCAACTCAACTCCTTGCTGGAAGCATTAGAAGTTGAGTGCAAACAGACCGGCAACCACCAACACGCTGCTCACAAGAGCACAATAGACTGAGGGAGAGCTACCACCACTGCTGAGGGTCTTAGTAACCTTCTTCCAGGTGGTCACTCTGAACTCAAACGCACACAACAGAGGTGTCGACTACACCTTCAAAATACTTGTTCTTGTTACTCCTAGTGGCTACCGTCTAAGAATTCACGATCACAAAGTCCACATGCTCCATTGGCGTGGCTACAAGCGTCGTCCCCCAGAACAAGTACAGTAATATTTAGATAAATGATAAGCATCCAACTGTGCAGACACTGGCTTTAAGTAAAAGGCGAAGATATAGCTCCTGAAGGAAATGAGAATGCTGACCTGATGGGCAATTTTCCTTCCTCGAAGACGGCAGGCTCCAGCACGCAAACCAGACCCTCCTCGCTGCAGTTCGTCACGGTGTAGCACCTGGCTACTGTCTCCTCTCCCTCGCTGACGAGCGAAATAAAGTTTGTTGCTGCTCCCGTCTTGTACATGTCTTCGCTTGAAGTGTACTTCGGAGGAATTGTGACGTCTCTGAATAGACACACAAGCACTTGCTTCACACACGGGACATGCTCTGCAGTTTGAGCATGCACAGGCTATGGAGCTCTCTCAACTGCCTTCACGCCACCTGTTGTTGGTGCAGCAGGAGGAGTGCATCTATTTAAAAGAGACTGCTCGAACAGTTGGAAAGGGAGTTCAAACCCACTTGAACCTCTCATAGCCCTTCTTCCATTCAGTGACGGCGTTAGAGCACGTAGCGCTAGACCCAGAGTAGTACATAACGCTGCGTTTATTGTTGGAAATCTGGGACCAAACACCATCAGGGGAAATAATCAAAAAAGGACTCACTGCATGGTGGTATTAGGTGCTCTGTGCTTCTCCGAGAGTTTTGTGTGGATTCTAAGGCACTCCGAATTGAGCATAAACTAGAAACAGGGATGTCCTAGGGCTCACCAGGATAGGGGCATTTCCAGCCTTGAGGGCATCGCACGTGAGCACCTTGTTCAGCTCCTCGAAATCGTATTCGGCGACCTCTTCGTCAGTCAGATTTGTTGACGTCGGTGACTTAGCAACGAACGCGCTCAGGCCGAGACTGTCTTGTGTACGGAACTCATTGATTTCTTTGAGGCAGTTATCCGCTTCCTCTGATACGACAGAATTTGCAGTGTCTCACACACATTTTTTTCCCTACAGGGTCTTGTCGCGGCGGTCCTTCCTTCTGGTGGGAAGTGCCTTTTCTGACAAAGTAGCGCCGAACGTCAGGCTGAGGCTGCACTTCCTTACGGAATATCTACCAGAAGCAGCCGGCATGTGCCACTCTCCTGCAGAGGTATATAGGTTGCGATTTACATGCAGTCGTTCCATACCGCGTTTTTCAACCTGGATCCTGTTAGCGAGGGCCAAAATCTTTCTCCATGTAGTGTCACTGCAACCATACAAACAGTCTCTCCGTTCTACTGCACTGAGGCCTGCATGCTTGTGTGTACGGCAGCTGTTGCCTATTCGTTGTTTCCGGGAGCAAAGAACGGGTGGGTGTGGCATTGGCCTCTATACAAGCCCTTCCATTGCGAGGAAAGCACAAGCACCGGTTCGCCAGCCCATTAGTACATCCAGAAGCATAGCCGCCAACCGCATAAGGCCAGAATAAGTGGAGGTCTTTAGCGTAAATCTACAGCATCAAAGGTTTATAGTCACCAACACAAATACTACTGTTGTATATAGTCTTCCTGCCAGGCGTCAACGCCCACCTGATGGGCTGTACGCCTTCCACCAAGGTAGGCTTTGAAAGGAAACAGATGAGCGCGGCCTTTTCACAACCTGTAGCGTTATAGCACCTCATCTCGTGCGTTGTATCAACCATAAGAGAGGCAAAACCAGCCACTGCACTCTTGTAGTAGATTTCGCCCTCAGTTTCTTCATCACGTCTGGCGACCTTAGTTTTGAAGGCTGGCGGGACCTCCGGGCTGCAAGCAGTAACATACATCAAGCATACATCATTAAGGAGAGCTTATGTGGATTCGGAAACGCCCTGGCTTATAGGGGCGCAACAACAGTGGTTGTCTGTATGCCACACCGCCAGTTGCACTTCTAGTTTTACACGTCCACTTCGTGATTAAACAGCCTTTGTTTAGATCGGCCCTACAAATTAGTTTCCGATGACCTGCATTCTGTGGAAGTCCCGTTGTGCTGAAGGTGGGAACAGACCCAAGCATATCAAATCCACTTCTCCAGAATTCTATAGCTTCCTCCGGTGTTGGAGGAATTTGACCTTCTTTGACAGCGTAAATGAGAGTGTACTCGTCTTCAACCTGCTCATAGGTTTCACCGCCATGCTTCGTCCACCCCCTTCTGGTGAGGTTGCTCAGCTCTTTTGGAGAAGCACAGCCGACTTTGGTTCAAATAACCATGGTTCCTTGCCCTGCCGGCAGAGTGTATGCCTGTCTACGTTTTGGCTATTTGCTTTACTTGATCGGTTAAGGTATTAGCAGACTCCAACGAGAATAGTTCCGGTTCAAGCGAAAACTGACTTTTGGGTCTATTGACGAACCGTCTATCTCCTTGCAAGTCACGTTGTAAAGCGCGTTCTCATACTTGGTGGACTGGACAACGGATGTTTTCAACTGCAGTTTCGTTTTTCCCGTTGGCGCAGAGAATTTCGGAAGGTCCAGCTCTTCAAGCTCACGAACAGCATTGACAGCGTCCACGCAATCCTGGTGCCCTTTTTCTGCAAGAATAGTCAGTAGAAAATATCAACTGAACAGAGGTATCTACAGTCTGATTCGCTCTCGGTGCTTCTCCTGATTTATATGAAAGATGTCAACAATGGAGTTTTGTCCCACCGCGATCCGCCACTTTGGGCTTCAGATTGAAGCTTTCTTCAACCTTGTGCCACATCTGGGGACTGCAGAAATTTAACAGGCTCAACTATCGTCATGCCCAAATGTTGTGCCACGTAGTCGATGACTTCTTTGTTCCTTGAATTCAAGAAACATAACCTTTCTTGCTCTTGTAGCTCGCGTGTTTGGGCGATTTATCGCTGCACACGTTTGTAGTGATGCTCGAAAAATGGATTGCTAAACCAGTTCTTCGGCTAATACACACTGCCTCCACAGGAAGTTATCCTAAAAGGTGCTGAACGCTCACGTCACAGGATGGTTCCCCTCTTGTATGGCAGGAGGCTTGATATAGCATATGAGGGTTCCCGCATCGCATCCTGTTGGGTTGCCGCAGTAAATTTGCTGCTCTCCCCCGCTTAACAAACTAACAAGGCCTACAGCATTTGGTTTAGCGTATGCACCGGTTCCTTGCTTATATTTTGCAGGGTAATTGCCCCTAAAATGACACGCAGAAGATATGGCCTGACGTGACCTCTTGGGATAGAGCCAGCCCTGTGCGAGGGCTCAGGAGACGTGCGAGACTGCGGTTCTTTCGGTGCACGCACTCGAAGTCGTCAAAACCTGTTTTCCATTGTTCAAGGGCTTCCTCGCAGGTCATTTCGTCGCGCAAAAAATTATCTGGCCGTGAGGCAGAAAAGACAAATGTTTTTCCGGATGTAGTATCATCCTGCAGAAAGCCACTCCAGCTCTCTCGAATTCACTCTTTATTGTTTTGCGGTAAACGAGTGCTATGTACTTCAACAAATACCGCTGGACCTACAATAATGTGTGTGAAGTCCCCGCTTTTGAGAACAGAGCATTCATTAGTGGTAAAGAAAGTGCTAAGATCATTCGTTGGGTTTCCACTGGTATAGGGTTTGTACGCTTTTGCATTAGGATCCACTTGCTTCCTCCATGCATTAATTTCTTCGGTGCAGTGCTGGTCGCCACCTGCAGAGATGTAACCGCAGTATTGTCAACCCTCGCTAAAGCTATTCCTCATCCTTATTGAATTTGACCCCTAAGTGATCTGCTGTGCAATGGACTTTTTTGAACGGCGGTTGCTTGTACTCGTGAAATGTCATGTCCCGTGCGGGTGTCTGCGGCTGTTTGGGCCATACAAACGTGTCAACGACAGTTTTCCAGCGTTTGGTTTCACCCACTTATCGCGGTCAGCTTAGATGCTTGTTGGCGAAAAGCGTGGAGGGAATTTTTGCCCAGAGCGATGGCATCCGCAAAGCTCCCGCGAGCAATGGCGGTTGCCACCGCAAGGGCAGCCCAAGAGCAGAGCGTTTTCATCTCTGGAAAGAAGAAAATTACTTGTTAATACAGACAGATATTGTATTTTCTGAAAATATCCGAAAGTTTGCACTCCTAAACGGGCGGGAAGCCGACGCACCCGCCTGGCGCCGACTCCGGGCCCGCACGGCGGCTTCTGTTGCCTGTGGACCGCCGCACCGGCAGAGTGTAGGTGTGCTAAATTCCATAATATTTAACTCATTAGTATTAGGACGCCAGTTGAATTAGAATTATTCGGTCCAAATCCTTTTTTTCTAATGCTTACTTCCCTCCATAGCTTAAAACCTATTCCGTGTTCGCTGCGGTGAAGCCCAGTGACCCAATTCGCCAACGAATGCAACACTAATTCTAGTGGGGCTACTGTATGATACGCAACAGTCTACTATCGTTAAAGTTTATGCTTTAATATGATAGAAAAATAAAAAAAATAAGGTATTCTAGCCTGAACGTCTACCAACGGCCTTACTCTGGCGGCGGCGACTGCGCCGCAGCGCATATGCACTATGGTGACAACGGATGTATTAAAAGCGGCAGGCAGTATAGCCCCTCTTCGTCATCATATTTTGCTCTCTTACCCACGAACCACTACACCTTAATTGCATAAAACAGCCTCCATTGTACGTACACTACATTATAGATGTCATGCTGCTTCGGACAATTCTGCAGGTCTGAAGAAGACCTGTTGCTCGGTGCCTGCGGCTAGCTGCTGCGGCTGCTGCTAATGCTAAGTGGGCGACCGGCTATGTAGGGGTCAGTACAACTACAGGGGTATATTTCAGAGAATAAGAAGAAAAAAAGTTTCACTTCAAAGGAGAGTTGGAGAAGACGAGGAGAAGAGAGCATTTGCTTCTGTGCGCGTGCATGCGAAGGCTGGTTAACCACTGCGGCCCAGATCCGCTGCTGTTGCTGCTGTTGCAGTTATTGGCTTATCGGCGAAGGAGGCTGGCGAGTTCGACTAAAGCAAATGTTTTCCGCTTTATTTTTATCATTTATTTTTAATTACTTTTTTGCATTAGAATGATAATGTTCATGTTAGTGTCTCGAGTGTATGCCGCGAGCTTCGCTTGTCCTATGCAACCACCACCAGCAGCCTGTGGGGACCTATTGGAGTCCTCTGTATGCTTACCTTTGCTGAATTTTACTTTTCTTGTTATTTTAGCTTCACCAAAATAAATATTGGGGGGAAGTAGGGATCATTGAGCACGTGAAAACATCTCCTGCTGGTGCTGCTCTAGTTGTAGGCATGGGGGTTGGCTCGATTGATCTCTTTGCATAGCTGACGTTTACGGGTCCGTACAGACGCTGCTAGATCTTCTCAATTTCCTCCACCTGCTGCTTTTGCAATTCCAGGCTGCCTGTCTGTGTGTTTGGCGAGTTCGGGGAACGTTGGGCAACTCTTTAAGCCATTTGAGAGAATAGCCAATAGTGTCATTGTAGCGCATTCATAGGAGTACCGTGAGCATGCCACCCAACATCGCCGCCCTGTAAACAACAGCAAACTTTCCTTCCCCCTCCGCGTCCGTCGCATTTCAAGGAGCTCACAAATCCACTTAAACCATGTTGCCAGGGTCAAAGGCGGCTTCTGAAGGTCCATTGACTTTGTCTTTTGCTTGGGGTTGCTGCGTGGTCTCGCTGCCGCATGCGGCGTTTAACCGTCGGTGGCATTGGAGACAAGGGAACAGCTTTCAACTGCCAGCTCCAACTTCCCGTCGGTGTTTCGGTGTACTTCAGGTACACCAGAGACAAGAGAGCCGAAGGACGCAGTGTTGTTCTACAAGTGCATTCCTCATAAAGGAATCGCCTGGTGAATTTGTGCTGAGTGTAGGTAGGGTCGCACAGGAGTAGTGGTATTGCGTTTCGCTTGCCCGCCTGTTCCCTCAAGGCTAACGGTAATTGTGCTGTCATTACTCCGCTACATACAGTTGCCGCCGGCGAAATTTGGGTCCCTGTGGGTAATGCAAGAAAATTGTTTCCAAATGAGATGGTTAACGGTGCCCTGGTGTTGCAGTTTAACTGGTCAGAGCTCTTATACCTTCTGAATGTTGGCTGGTGGCTTCCTTGCAGGGATAAACTTTGGACCTGCTCCTGGACTGCGTTCGATGCAATACAGGAAGCGTCTAGGCGGCTAGGGATCCTCTGGGGGGACGCCGTTATGGAATACCTATGACATCACCTCCCTCATTTCCGCCATTCGAGTTGCTCATCCGGTGTTAGCTGGAACGAATCCCTTGAACAGTCGCCTTCCGAAGGCCATCAGGACAGACAGCAAGCATTTCTCCGTCGCAATTTGTAACGCCGCTACTCTGTCGACGAACGTACTCGCTCCTTTATGGAACGCTGGCTCAACTGCTCTTTTCCGATAAGGATACAAGTGTTGCTGGACACAGTGCGAGGTGCACTGTGGCGTTTATTCCTGGCATTTGGACCTCACTGGTATTGTTTGGATACTTAGGGACCCAAATTAATAATGCAAAACAAGGTCTGTGCCTTTGCCCTAACTTCCATTGTTGCGGATGCCAGATATTGAGCCAGTCCACACAGTTGCACTAGGAAACCGCGTTAACGCAGGCTGTCCGCTTAGGTTTTCCAGCGAAACCAGAAGTACTTTTATTCGACTCCACTCGGATAGTTCTTATGTCAAGGTTATTTCCTTGAATTCGTGCAATTCAGTTCCGTCTGTCCACACGTATTTTAACTCCCGTGTACTTTTTCGATCAAATTCGGGGACACTTAGGTCTAGGTGCGTGTGATGCGTGTGGGAATATGCATCCATATCCTGTATCGAACACCGTACGTGTGCCAAGGTACAGACTAGGCAGTATTGGAGCCCTTCATGAAAACCCGCCAGTTAAAAATTCTTAGGGGATATAGAGCCAGAGGGTTGGGTGCTTGCGCATATACTACCTTTTGAGCGAAGTCAATGCATAAGGCCTAGGTGGAAATTTACCCTTGCAGTTAGTAATTCAGCCTTGAGACCAGCAATGCTGGCAGCAATATAGGGAAAAGGTACCGACTGCCAATTTTTAAGAAGCAGATGCTGTCACTGCAATACACATTTTGAAGGCATCAATATATACAGCCGCCTGGGTTGTATATATTGGTTAGCAAGAATGATTCACTTCGTCCTCGTAGGATTTCAAACAACGCTGTGACAGGACCGCAAAGGAAACGGCAATCTGCCAATTTACAAAATGCATGGTAGATTGCCGACACTCCTCATGCCAGCTTGTGTTGTTGCACTGTTTAACGCACAGTACCTTGGTTGAGGCAGCGTTCTTATTCGCTGTACACAAAATCTTTGAATTCGTCTCTAAGGCCCACGTCTATGAGCATTGGGTTCTGCCTGTCTTTTATTGCCCTTAGGCGTTCATGTGGCATGTCAGTATAGAGAGGAAACTCTTACTCCCCAGCCAGGATATGTCAAAGACTACTGGCAGCATGCAGATACATGTATGGTGCATGGCTGGAATAAAAGGGAGCAAACATTAGGCGGAAAAGCATGAACACGGTCTTTCATGCAGAAATTACACCGTTTGGTATCAGTATTTGTTGTAACTGGCATCACATCCTTGTGCGCCAAAGAAATGCACGTGCTCCAGCTGTCGTTGCAGTACCCTGTCGCGCTAACTCAAACATACAATGCCCCATAGACATAGCCAAAATGTTCTGTGAAATTACTACCATATCTTCTCTTTGCTAACGCCGCATGTACGTCCTTTTACGTGCGCGCTCAAGAAATGCAGCTCACGTTGAAAAAGCTTGCGGTTTTGGTGTATAGGGTCCCTTCATCTCGTCGAATCTAAATGGAAAGCCCCTGACGACACTTCGCCGTTAGTTGTTCCATCCTAAGCCTCGCGGGAACGAAGTGAGACCACCGAAAAGAAACTAGAGTCCGAGGTGAAGTGCTTCAATGCAGATGGCCAAGTGGCAATTGCTGGATGAACACTGCACGGGAGCCTGGGTCCTTACTGCACTGGCACGCAGCTGCAATAAATGCTCACGGCTAGGGTCTCTCATTGTTAACCTTACTGTACCAAGCCGTTTACGTGCACATCAATAGTTTTCAGCTGCAGGAGAGAACGCGCTGCATTTCACTCGGGTGGCTGTTCAGCGTTACCATCAGCTACGCATGCGACAAACTCCTTCTACCAGTGTCAGGGTTTAGGATTTCCTGCTCAAGCGGAAAGATCGAAGCGCATTCAAGGTGAAACTTCGCAATAGCAGGCAGCATGTCTGCCTGTTCAGCACATGAGCCGCTCTTATTAACCAGAAAGAAAGAAATCTTGGCTAAAATCCCGTACAGCTGCGATAAACTCCTGCTAAACACTATGTCCTCACTGTAGGTGACATAGTAAAATTGCCTAGATTGGAGTGATCAGTGGATGGCGCATCACTAAACCTGTACCCATTTGAAAATTTGCCCGAGTTTAAAACTATTTGGAATAAATGGGCCGGCACACGATTCCAACACGCTCTAACAAGCGTCTTACAGCCCAAACCGTTTGGGTTTGTGGCTGCTCAACTCAGCTCCGTATTGGAGGCATTTAGAAGATGAATGCAAACAGAGCGACAACGACCAACACGCTGCTCAGAAGAGCACCATAGACGGAGGTAGCGCTAGCTCCATTACTGAAGGTCGTGGTAACTTTCTGCCAGGTGGCCTCACTGAACACAAACACAAAAAACAACACTGTCGATTACGGCTACCGAAAACGTGCTCTTGCGACTTCCACTGGGAGTCTATATGAGAATTCATGATCTGGCATTGCACTGGCTCCGTTGACATGGCAGCATGGGTGGTTCTGCAAGAGCGATTTTATAATATATAGTAGATAAATGATAAGCATCCAAATGCGAAGACACTTTAATAGAGGGCTCATAGACGGTATAGCTCCTGCAGGAAATGAGAATACTGACGTGATGGGCGATTTGCCATCCTCGAAGACGGCAGGCTCCAACACGCAAACCAAGCCTGGATCCGTGCAACCGTCGACTCTGTAGCACGTGGCTGCGGTCTCTTTTCCCTCGCTGACAAGCGAGATAAAATTTGTGGCTGCTCCCGTCTTGTACATTGTTTCGCTTGAAGTGTACGCTGGAGGAATTGTGAGGTCTCTGAAGAGACACAAAAGCGTTGCTTCACACACGGGATACTCTCTTTAGTTTGAGAATACGGTTATGGAAACGTCTCAATTGGCTTCACGCCATGCGCTGTCGAAGGAGGCCTGTGTTAATTGGAAAGGAGCTGCTCGAAATGTTCGGTACTTAACCCTACTTGAACTTGTCATAGCCCTTCTTCCATTCGGTGACGGCGTCAGAGCATGTGCTAGAGCCAGAGTAGTACATTAGGCTGCGTTTTGTGAGGGTAGACTGAGAGCAAAGCGCATAAGGACCCACCATGAGGGCAAGTAATCATATCACAATTTACTATATGATGCTATTAGGTGCTCTCGTGTTCTGCGGGAGTTTTGTGGGAATTCCAAGGCACTTCACGTGGCCAAACAACTAGGAAAAGGGGTGTCCTTGGTCTCACCAAGAAGGGGGCATTTCCAGACTTGAGGGCGTCGCACGTTAACATCTCTAACGCCTCGGATGCCCTAGTGGTGACCCCATCGGCACCAGAATCGGTCGAACTCGATGTCTTAGCAACGAAGGCGTTAAGGCCGAGGCCGTCCTGGGTGCGGAACTCATTGATTTCTGTGAGACAGTTCTCCGTTTCCTCTGACAGGGCACAATTGACAGTGGCGAAAAGCACGGTTGCTTCTTAGCAGTGGTTTGTCGCTGTTTACCTTCAGGTTGTGAATACCTTTCTTAGAGCCCAGAGCTCACAAACATCCGGTTGAAGCTCCACTTCTTTACGGAATATCTCTACGTGTAGCAGCCAGCATTTGTCATCGTCACAAGACGATGACAATGCTGGCCTTCATTTGATGCAGTAATGCTGGCTGCCACACGTAGATATGCTGTAAGCGGTAGTCTCTGTAGCTTCTCCTTACGGAGTTTTACGAACTTCATACTCTTGTCGTAATTGTCGTTGCTATCGAGGGTCAAAATCTTTTGCCATGTAGTGGCACTGCACATACACAAAGTCCCACCGTTCCGTAACACCGGCGTTTGTGATCGTGATTGCAGTCGCTGTTTCCTGCTCGTTCGGGGTTCCCACCTATTAGTTTTTTCTGGGGCACAATGCGGGTGGTTGTGGTACAGGCACCTCTAGAGAAGAAGCTTTCTCATGAATAGAGTCGGCGACACACGCTAGGCAACAGGCCGGCACACCAAGGAGCATAACAGCAAATCGCCAGAAGCCATATATTGCGTTGAGGTGAGTTTGCATATACGGCATCAAATGGTTACAAGCAGAAACATAAGTGTTTCTGTCTTATAGAGTTTCCCTGCCGAGCTTCAAAGCCCACCTGATAGGCTTTTCGCCTTCAACCAAGGTGGGCGCCGAAAGGAAGCAGATAACCGCTGCCTTTGAGCATCCCGTAGCGTTATAGCACCTCATCTCGCGTGCGGCATCAACCATAAGAGAGACAAAACCAGCCACTGCGTTGTCGTAGTAGATTTCGCCATCAGCTGTTTCAGCACGCATCTCGACCTTCGCCTTGAAGGCTGGCGGGACGTCGGGGCTGCAGGCAGTGACAAACATCACGGACTTTCCCAACAGGGGAGCTCTTTGAGGACAGGGAGTTCCTTGGTGCACAGAGGTGCACCAACAGTGGCTCTCCGCATGCAGCAGCGCAAATTACAGTTCTTATTGTTGTGCTGTCCTTCATGATTTAACACCGTCTTGAATTAAATCGGCTATACGAACAAGTTCATGATGGTCTTCGTTTTGGGCTTGCCCTGTGCTAGTAGGGGTGGGAGCTGACCCTAGCTCATTATAGCCAGTTTTCCAGAAGTCTACAGCTTCTGCTGCTGTTGGGGGAGCGTCGTCTTTGACAGCGTAGATGAGAGTGTAGTGGTCTTCAACCTGCTCATGGAGTTCACCAACACCCACCAGCCACTCTCCCCTGCTTCTTGCAGCTTTTGAGTGTGGCATAGCTAACGTGGCTTTGAAGTACAATGGTCCCTTGCTCTGCTTGTGGTGTGGGTGGGAGTCTACTTTCCGGATATTTGTTCAATGTGATTGGATAAGGAGTTAGCCGTTACCAGTGAGATTAGTTTCCTTTCGAGTAAAAACTCACTTTTGGGTCTATTGATGCCTCCTCTATCTGGGCGCATGTCACGTTATACAGCGCGTCCTCATAAGGGGTGGAGGGGGTTCTTGATTTCTTCAATCTCAATCTCATTTTGTCCTTTGGAGGAGTGAATTTCTCAAGGTTCAAACCGTCGGCCCCACGCACAGCATTGACCGCGTCCACGAATTCTTGATCACTGCCTACGAGACCATTCAGTACAAAATAGTCGCTGAACAGCGGAATCTACAGTCTGTTTCACTCTGGGTGCTTTCTATGACTTCTCTGTAAGATTTTAAGGGCCGAACTTAGATTCTTGTCCCACTGTGAGCCTCCAGTTTTGGCTTGAGCTTGTAGCTTTCCTGCACCTTGTGCCACATCTGTGCACTGAAGCAATTTAACAGACACAGCTCATTTCATCTCCAAATGTTGTCCTGTTCCCTAGTGGTGGAAGTAGTATAGTAGCTTTGATTCCAAGCAACAAAACATTTCTTGCTTTATCTTGCCTATTCAGGGGATTATTCGCGGTGTACGCTTGTAGCACTGCTCAACAAGCACATCCCTAAACTAATATTTCCACTATTAGACACTGTCTCCCCATGGCGTTGTCCAAAGAGGTGTTGTACGCTCACGTCACAGGACGAGCGTTTTCTTGGAAGGGTGACGGCTTGATATAGCAAAGGACA